GACGAAAGAAACGTTGCCCGGAGTGACGCGGAAGCCCCTCCCCCCCAAGGCGCATGCTCAGAAGCGACTGCCGAATAGCAGCCCCCCGCCCTCATGCCAGAAAGGGCGAACCTTGAACTCTCCCGAGACTTTGGCACAGCTGGGGAAAGTATGCTAGTTTTTGACTACAACTCCCAGGATCCCCTAAGAAAGGAGGAGGCCGGGCGGACCGACAGGCTCTGAGAGTTGTAGATCTCTCTCCCCACAGTGACTTTTTTCCCCTCAGACTCTCTCGAAGCCACACGGTTGGTTCCTCCCAAGTGCTGGCAAAAGGAGGCGGAAGTGGCGGCACCATAGAGCTTCCGTTAGCCCTACTGAGCATGTCCGGTGTGCCTGAGGCACCGCGCATGCTCAGTCCCCATCGTTAAGCAAGGCGGTTGGGTGGGGGGGGAAGGAGGAAGAGGCTTTATGTGCATGGCTTCCAGGTGAGGCTCTGATCTTCCACGTCGCGAGTGGGGGAAGCACCGCCCGATCCAAGGCGCACTTTTGCTTGGGAAGCACCCGCCCTCTCTCTCTCCCCCCCCCGCTTTCCACTTTGCCCAACAACGTGTTTCCTTCCTGTCTGAGCAAAACTGCAGTGGTTTTAGTGATGCCCTCTGCAGGTTTACTCAGAAGTTGGCTCCGGCGTAATTCCTGGAGCCAGCTTCCGCCCTGTGGTGACCTGTGTTGGGAAGAAATGTTGTGGGAGGCAGGTTTCTTACTCCAGGGCAAAGAGGGGTAAGGCTGGATTTCTGCAGATGTGGCCTGGCTTTGCATTCCCAGGGATACCTGGGAGTAAGTAAGCTTTGCGGATCTTGCTCATTCGGCCAGGTAAGCAGGCACAGAATTGGGCTGAAGGCGGGCGCTAGAAAATAGACTGTAGTGGAGTCCACAGGTGAATGAATATCCATGCGCGCGGGTGCCCATAGACACAGAAACAGGCTTTCCTGAATCTTGATACTGTCAGCCAAACCAAAACAATAGCAGCGTGTGTGTGTGTGTGTGTGTGGAGGGAGTGGGATCCTCTGATTCCCCCAACAGGTAATTTGAACCCTTCTGGGTCATTTAATGCAAGCTTCCATGTTGCGGTTTGATCTTCTCGTACAAATATGGATTTATCTCGCTACTGCAGGTTCTGTCTTGGCCCAAGAGAAAGAAGAACCCGGACCTCAGCCTCACCATGGACATCAAGTGTTCCCGGGTCCTGCCTTCTGTTTGCACCCTCCTGGCAGACCCAAGATGCCCCGTGTCAGATGATACTTGCTTGGAAAAGTTACTAGACTGGTTTAAGACCCTGACCAGCAGCGCTGGTACATTCCTGTTTCAGCTTTTTGTTTCGTAAAGGCTCCTTATGGGTAGAAAGAAAGCGGCTTTAGGGTTTGAGTCAGTGCCACTGACGTGTCTGGGAATAATATAACTCCTATTTTTGTTAGTTGTACCTATTGTTAGGTATTATGCGTTTCTTGTTTTATAATTTGAGTCAGATTATTTGCACTTATTTTGTGCTTCATTTTTAACTTGTCATGACATGGGGTTTTAACAATAAATTTCCTTCCTTACTGAAGGAGAAAGCCCCACTGAATGGATGGGATTTCACTGAGAACAAGACTTCAATCGGGTGTATGTGGTGAAAATGGTGCTTGGTCGTACCTAAATATATGAACGGTCTTTTTTGTATGGGTTTCCCCCCTCCCTGGTGTTTCTTCAGGATCCACCCTCCTGCTCTTAGAGGAGAAGCCATGCTTGACTAAATTGATCCTTACGGTGCTCGGCCAAGATGAGCCAAATCCTAGCATCCTTTCTTTCGTCCTGAGGCTCACAGGGATGCTGGCTGCGTCCGAAAGCGGTTTCCAACACCTACAGGTCAGCCAAGTTCCGAGCTGGGACGAGTGGTACCGGGTTACAAAGACCAATGGGTTGGTTCGAAGATCCCTTCCGTTGGGCCTTTCTCCCTAGTCCCATCAGTAAAGAGAAAGGGTACATCCGTGGCTTACTAAGATCCCTTCCGGTGGGCCTTTCTCACTAGTCCCATCAGTAAAGATAGAGGGTACATCCGTGGCTTACTATAATAATAATAATAATAACAACCATGTGCTGTCAAGTTAATTCTGACTTATGGTGACTCTTTTCATGGTTTTCCAGATATATAATATTCAGAAGTGGTTTACCTTTCCCTTTTTCTGGGGGTGCCCTGGGACTGCACAGCTTGCCCAAGGCTATCCAGGCTGGCTTTTCTCTCAGGAGGCTCAGCAGGGGAATTGAACTCTCAATCTCTGGCTTTCCAGTCTGATGCCTAAGCCACTGAACCATCCCTCCAGATGGACCACAGTTCCCATCCCCCCACACCCCTGCTACACTGGCTAGAGCTGATGGGAATAGCAGTCCAGCCAACATCTGGAGGGCAACACATTCCCCCATCTTGTCCGAAGACATTTTTTCACTTACAACACATATGAATGGGTGAAAGCACTGCAAGGGGCATTTACCCATCCAGACATTCTTGGTTTCAGTGTTACTTTTTAGCTAAAAATGAAGCTTGCAGCTTGTGGGAAGAGGGGGACCCCGGGGCTTCCCAGCCTCTACCCCACTTCTACCTGTGGTTGTGAGCCTTTTCTTTGGGGGACAGAGAGCTGTGCCCCAGGGCAGCTCTAGAAATCCAGGTGTGTGTTTTTCTCTAGATTTACAGGTGTGTGTCCCCCCCCCATTCTTTTGTCAATTCAGCAAGGGGAAGTGGTGTTTGCGGCCTTTGGCGAAGCAGGGCCCCTTGGCAGTGCGTTATGGGAAGACATGACCATACGGAGCGGCTGGGTGCAGGGCGTCTACACCATGCTGCAGCATTATAGTGCCTTTCAGTTCCTGTGTAACTCAGGTAGGTAAGCGTGGCTTGGATGTTTCTCCTTCCAAACTCTGTCCATGTCCGTCACACCTGAGTCTCCCCACAAAGGTGCAGGTTCTTTGATTGACTGAGGCATTCAAGCCATCCTTGACTCCTGTGGCTGACCTGCTGTGCAGTTCTTGTCGACAACACCCTAGTTTCCATGCCCAGTGGCACCTAAAGCAAAGCCGAGGGGACCGACCCTATCACATTTCTTCCCGTTTAGTCTTGCCTCCTCTTCCATTCTTTCCTCTGTTGCTTCTGCCCTGGAAAAAAAATTGGGTCAAAGTCTTTCTCATTTTACCTGCCTTGCACAAGTGGCCCTTGGCACATCCAGTTGTACTGTTTTTGGTCTTTGAGCAGGGAGATTATTTTCAGTGGGGTGACTGCCAGCTTGTGTACATTGGAGAGACATGAAGGGGGCTTTATACTTTGCAGTTTCCTTCTTAATGTGTCTTGACTGTCAGCTCCTTTATACAGAGGGATACCATCTCCCCCCCCCCGTAAAGTGGTGTGCCCGCTGATTTATAGAAACAAACCATGTTTGTGTGCATGCATGTGCACTTGAGCACATGTGTGCACATGCATGCCCTAACACATGCATGTACACATACACAGACTACAGCCCTAACTCAAAGATAGGGCAATAAAAGGTGGAGTTGGGTGAAGCACAAGCCCCTTCTGCCAACAGAACCTTCTGACTGCTCATCCCAGAGATCTGGGAGGGTAATTCTCTTTCACTAAGCATGCAGCTTCACGGAGGACGCATGTGGAGTGGCGAGGGAGGAAGGAAGGAAGGAAGAGGACAGCCGCTCCACAGCTGAATCAACCTGGTGATCTGTCTCACACGTCTGCTGGCAGAACTGCTCTGTAGGCGGAGACCTGGGGGCAGGGTGAGAATGGAGCTTGGGTACGTCATAGCCCAACCTCCCTCAACTCAGTGATGTAGGCACAGGGGCTGGCACAAAGTTAGCTGAAGTGAGAGAAATATCCAGCATTTTGTAGGACGGGGCGGTTCGGGACTTGGGACAGCTTTAGCTTGCTTGGGGTTGGCTGGTGAGGACCGCACTCCCATCTAGGAGTAAGTCTTGCTGAGCTTGAAACTACTTTTAAAGTTCGTGAAGGCTCTCACACTTTGTTAGAAGGTGCCACCTTTAACCTTTTCTTCTTTATCTGCTGCCATAATGACATGGTCTGACCAAAACATCTTCAGGTGTGCTATTAAATACCTGCCCCCATCCAGCATCTAAATATGGTATTCATCTCCCAGTGCAATGGTAACCTGATCACAATATGCACAATCATGATCACCTTGCCCTTTCCTCTTTTTTTAAAAACCAGGAGCTCTCGACGTGATCTTCTCTCTCCAAAGAGATCGCAGCTTGTTTGTCGCTTCGGGAGCCAACCGGCTTCTCGCCCGCACACTCATCTTCTCTGCAAAGTCCGAACCGTCTCGCCTTCTCTGTCCAAAGGATTGCGATTGGCCGGCCTGTGCCCGAATGATCGTTGCTCGCACGGAGGAGTCTTTGCAATCTCATTCCGCTGCCTCCATCCAAGCGTCCTTGAAGTTGCTGATTACATTGTTTGAGCAGAACCAGGATCCGTGGACTGAAATCCTTTGGTCGCGGATTGCGGAGACTGTTGAGTCCGTTCTGAGAGAGGATTCGGTGCAAGCGGGACATTTGCTGGTGGATCTGTTCCTTAGCATGGGAAGGTAGGCATCTGTTGAATCGAGAGTCATTTCTCTTTGATTATCCAAGGTTAGATCAGAGATGGAACCAGTTACATCATCTAGAACAACAACTGAAAATATCTGGGCTACATAGATGCCACAGGCGTAAGTTGTGCTGCTCAGTCACATCGCTAGTGTGGTGAGCTAATCAGAGCATAGATATCAAGTTTCCGGTCCTCACGGAGCCGTGAAATTCACTGGAACTAGTTATATGCTCAGTCTCACTTTCCTTACAGGACTGTTTGGAGGATGAAGTGGCGAGGCATTAAACTGGTTTCTGGAATTTTTTGCAGAAAAGGAGGGATGTAACTGTTAACTAATAAAAAAGATCACTGCTGCATTGGGATTTCTCCTTCCCTCCTGTAGGTCTCCTGCATTTAGCTGTCCTGAATGCAGACTTTGGAAGCTGGTAACGCTTGCGCTGAAGAACTTAAGCCTGACCCAAGCTGGCCCCTTGGCCTTAGGACTCTTGAAACTCGAAGCATGGCAAGTACTGATGCTCCTTAAACTCCCAACTAAGTGCTTAAAAAGCCAGATCATTAAAACCGACAAGCAATGAAGTACTTTGTTGGACTTTGACACAGCCTTTGCCCGTCTTAGTGCCTTGTAATGAGATCGGACTGCTGTCCCCATCCTTTCCAGCCAGCGTGTCTGAGGAGGATGGGGTGAGTCGCTCAACACCCCTGGAGGGCACCAAATAGAGAGGGGCTGCTTGTGGGAAATCATTCTGACCACAATGCCATGCTCGACCCGCTGGCATTCATTCCAAGGGCAACCGAGTGGCCGTCCTGTGGACCTTGATTAGGGCAGAGGTGGACAAGGGATAACCTCTCAGATGTCCTGGGACTGCCGTTCCTATCTGCCACAGTCAGTATGTCCAGTGGGGAGGGATGATGGGAACTGCAATCGAACAATGTCTACCAGACATACTTTACTCTCTCTTCTACTATGGAGTAAGAGCCACCAAAACTGATGGTGTTAAATGACTGAGCCCGAGACTGCACTGGCCCTAGACGTGGTCTCCATCCCCTGGCCGCAGGGAGCTAGACTAAACTGGGAGGCATGCCAGCTGATTTGAAACGTCGGTTTCTGTCTGTGATATTTGGGGGAGACATTGTATGAATGCACAAACTAAAGGTGGTTACACTAAACCAGTGAGGTGATCTGCTGTTGAGGACACGGGGGAAACCGAATTCCTCTTTTCTCTTGAAGCCCAGCAGCAATTAAGGCGCGAAGTCTGAATGTTCTCCTCCAGCCGATGGACTGCATCTCGAGGGCTGCTTCTCACTCTCATGTGGAATTCCCAGGTACGATGCTGACGTCATGATAGGGTTTCAAACCTACATGCCAATGAAATGTGGGCGGAGGGTGGGGTTAAACCCTTGGTATGGACCACACTGACTGGGGGAATCTCCGAGGTGTCATCCAAGACATTTGGATGAGCATGAGAAAGCTGAGATAAAGAAAGCACCCTTTCTGGATGGAGGAACTGGATGACATACAACTTGGTTTCTGCTCCCCTTTTTTAGACTCTTACCAGCTGTATTAGAGAAGCATTGGATCTGGTTTACACAATTCCCTCCTTCCCTCCAGGTTTACCAGATCAGCCTCCTACCAATCCTGCTTCCGTGGAGACTCTTCTTTCCTCCAGATCATCGTGTGTTGGTCTTCTGTGCCAAACGCTGGCTTACCTTGAGGAGATCCAGTCCTTGGTAAGACCCAGAGCACCAGCTTTTTCCACCCCAGTGTAGTGCTGTAGTCCAGTGTATTCCATGGGTATTACAGATCCCATCATCTCTACCCAACATGTGCAGTGGTCCACAGTCATGCTGGCTGTTGGTGGCTGGAGTGGTATGAATTTCTGCAGAGGCAGCCGGACTGGTCTGTCGCAATGGCGGCACTAATGCTGTAATAAGACCATGACTTGATAATAGTGATACTTAGGTGATGCCTTTTTTTTAAAAAAAAAAAGATGCTCAACCACCGTTAACGATGCACGTGTTATGCTAACAGGCCTCATCAGCATCATAGGCAGAGGTGGCCTCATCCAGTTCTTCTTTACATTTTTTAATTGCCTAACTCCACATAGCCCAACTCCTGCTTCTGATTAAGAGAAGAAGCAAGAGCTCTGGGTTGTAAAAGCCTCAGGACCACTCTCTTAGCAGGAAGCAGGGGTGACATCTCGTCGCCTGGAAAGACAGAAGCAGGTCTGGAGCTGCAGCGATGCCTCCGCCCCCAGGCAACCCTCCGGTTGTGATGAGACATTTTGCCGTTGCTAACCTCGCCAGCAGCGAGGAAGCCTCAGCAGCTAGACTTTGGCACCAGTTGGCGAACTGGATTTTGTCCACTCCCTGCGGTAGACAACCCACCTCTGGTAGAGGAGAAGCTGCCTCAGGTCAGATGGTGGAGCCCTTTCCAGGATTTGAGGCAGGATTCTTTCCTAATGCTACCTCGAGATGCCACGGGGGATTGAACCGGGGGCCTTTGGAGTGACAGATACTGTACAGCTCTGATTGTGTGCTCTTCCATAAAACGGGATGGGAACGCATGCCCCTTTCGCTTTACCAGGCTTGCCTGTCGGTGATGGATTTCCCCCAGAAACCTTTGCTGCACTCCGTGGTGGCCACGCTGCAGTTTGGCATCGGCTCGGCTGTTCCGGCCAACTCCCTGGGAGCAACACTTGGCAAAACCCTCGTCGGCTGCTTCCGAGTTCAGCGGGCAGCCCTCGGCCTTCTTGGGGCGCTCTCACGGTGGGCGAGTAAGTCATTCCTGTTTTCTGATTATGCGCACAATTATCTTTTGATTGTGGAATCATTTTGCCGCAGCATGTTAACACTCTAGAGGGCCCTTGGGTTGCCTTGAGGGTGCTTCTCGATTACGCAGCTTGTAAAGCAACACGGATTCATCCTGCGAATTCCCGGAAGGCAGAGCTTCAAGCATCCACACACACAAGCCCACTGGCTAGAAGCTCCTTTTTCCAGCAGTCAACCAGGTGACTTCAGAAAGGGAGGCACTTTCGGTGTTGGCCCCCCCAATTACGGAACGTCCTTCCTAAGCTTGTGTACCAAGCTTGCTCTCTGAGATAGATTGCCCTGCGCAGCCGTTCCTGTTCTCCCAAGCCTTTAATGGCAGAGGTGGCCCAAGGCACACTTTTAATTTCATGATGGTATCACTTCTATGCTTTTCTTTTCTCAGCTAACAAGGCCACTGAGATTCCCCTTTACCCTGGCTTTGCATCTGCAAAACCTGAAGGGCTCCCCAGTCCTACTGAAACCTGGTGTTCAATTAGACGAGCAGATTTATCTTTGTCATTGCATTGTGAGTCCAGAGGTTCTGTTTATTCCAACTCGTAGTTCCAACTGTATATATATTTTTAAATGCATGCAGCTTCAGTTCACGATGAAGCCGTGGAACAGGTCTTTGATATTCTTCTCGTGTACCTGAAGAGTCCAGATACAAGTCCCACTGTAAGTATGAGCTCATGCATATGCAGGCATAACTTTGCAAAGACTAAGGATTTTTCTCCCCTTCTCCACTCCTCCTCTTACAAGCAGGTTTCCTTTTCCCTTTCAATTGTAACTTTAAACACTGGCTATTCCAACAACGTCTACCCAATTTCCTTTTCCCCCAATTCAAAATGGGTGGATTACAAATTGATGCTGAAGCTTTGGTTTTTCCTCCTTCCAACCCACCCCTTTTCCTTGCGTGTTGTGCCTTTCAAGGGACTTTTTAATTAGTGATATTTGTAAGCCGTTCTCGGGATCTTTTTAGCTAAAGGGTTAGCAGAAATTCTTTCATTGTTCAAATGAACAGATGCCATAATCACTACTGCCATAATCACTACTACCTTACACTTGGAAGGAAAGTTCTGTGCCCAAAGCTGGTAGGAGAATCTCTATTTGTCATCAGCCACCAGTATCGCAGATTTTGAGGGTTCCATTTGGTTTCCCTTGCAGGTTTTGAAGAAGGCGTTTCAAGCAACACTCAAATGGCTTCTGAGCTCCTTGGAGCCCTCCAGCCGTCTTCCCGGCGTTAGGCGGCAGAAACAGTTTCTCAAAGGTATAAATATAACGGCTGGCGATAGACAAACTGGGTCACGGGTGTATAATGAAGGAACGAGATGAAGCAGCTTGCAGGCTGTGAAGCGGATTGTTCCACTTACGTGGCGTTTTGGGGGGAAAAAAGAGGCACAGGTAGAGTTGCAGGGTTGAGATGCTTGTGTGATCGACTTTGGGACTGTTGTTTTCACACAAGACTCCCGAGATGCAGTGAGGGGAGCCTGGTCTAAAATTAGGGTTTGGAATGAAACATTGGGGGAGATGATATATAGGGTTCTCCACCAGCCCATTTCTTTAAAAATGAGAGAAAGAGAGAGAGAGAGGTTTGAAGAGACTCTCTTAAGGCATATGTACTTGCTTTCGACTCAAGTCCAAACATTTTTCCTTTCATGGCCTTCCTCATATCTCTTTCCCTCTTAGCCTCCTCTATGGTAGTACTAGCAATAAACCACTCACCTGGAAATGGCTTCCAGAGTAGTTTATAAAATTTGGAGGTAAGGCTAAACATCAGGGCAGAAAAAGGAAAGGAAATGGGGGAAAGGAGAGACACCCAGCCGGTTGTGCTTGGATTGAGCAGCAGGAGGTAGGAAGGGCTATGTGTCCTCTGGGAGTCTTTTTTCCCCCCCTCTAGATGTCCGTTATTCTCCCTGTGGCCTTTATTTCTGCAGAGATGCTGTCTGTGTTGCCGAAACGCATGTGCAGCCCAAGCTGGGAAGTGCGTGACTCAGCCCTGGAGTATCTCACGCTGGGGATGAAGCACCTGAAAGGTGAGTGCAGAGATGGCAATGCCTTTTCCCTAGACGGGGTTTATGGCGTAGAGGTCCTGCAGCACTGACATCAAGCCAAATCAAACCTCCAAAGTCAGAGGCACTCTACCTTGATTCTGGGGGGAGATGGCTTTTCCCCCATCATCCTCTGTCTGTCAGCTTCCAGAATAGCTTTTCCCAATTTAGTCTCCTACAGATGTTTTGAGCGTCAGATCCCATGATCCTTCGCCATTAGCATCACAGGTGGGGCCAGTGAAACTTGTTTAACATTTCTGAAAGGCACTGAGAGGCCTCTGATTGCCCAAAAATTTACCCGAGTTCTTCCTGCAAAATAATATTCCTGACCGCACTTATACCTCTATCTCGATTTGGAAAAATCATCCCTGGCAGCCAGGAAACCAGTCTTAGAGGTTGGAAAAGGTTCTTCTTGGAAAAACAGGGCTACCACATCCAAACAGCAATGATTCCAAGCTGTAGCCTGTATACAACCTATGTGTGCCTTTGACAAATCCTTCCTTCTAGAGATGCTAAAATAAATGGCATTTCTCCAGCTCAGATCTTTCTATGAACGATATCAGGAGGACGCTTACTTCCTCCCAAAGCAGATGGAAACAGGCCATGTGTTGTTGCAGCAGGGGCCCACTCTGTCTCCACAGGGCAGGAATGGTTCTGTCAAGACCTGCTCACCTCTGAAGTGCCGACACTTGTGGAAAGCCTCCTGGACGACCCAGAGAGCTACGTGCGAGCGAGTGCCGTGAAAGCCCTGGGACAGTTTCCCCTAATGGCGAGCTCAACAAGGCCTGGCTCGGATCACAATGGGAGTCATAAAGAGGTATAGCATTTAACTTGCCCGCAAAAGTGTTTCGTCTGTCCATCTCCCCGAGGCGGCACAGCAGGATCACACGCACCACCACTGCTCACATCCAGACACGTAGCCTTCAGGGATCTGTACACCAGGTTCCTCTAAATGCAGTTCATTCAGGAGCTGCATCTGGCACAGATGGCAGCCGCTGTGATGATGGCTGCTGCGTGGAGATCAGATAACGCTGCCCTCTTTTCTGTCGACTGTACTGATTACCAGTTTTTCTGACTCTCTTTAAAGTGTTTTGTGTTCACCTTTTATAGCTCTTGCCAGTTTTTCAACCCTAGGGTTCCCCTAATGCTACTGTGACCTCCTTCCTGTCTAGGGATGGCTACCATTCAGACAACCCGGTGATCCACATGCGAATGAGTTTGATACTCATTTATAGGTTTAGAACAGAGCCAGATTATGTTAATGCTGTAGTACTGGGAGATCTAGAGCAGACGGATGTTGAGATTGGATGGAAAGGGGGGAAATATACAGAGTAGCTTTCAGATTCTGCCCCTTTTCTGCCTCTTGTTCTCAAGGCTGGTGCTGGGGTTCGCTTGCTGGAGATCTTGTCTACAGACGCCGAAGGCTTCCCTCGCAGAGCCGTGATTGGGGTCTTCACTGACTGGCTGAAAGAAGGCCACCCAGAAGTTTTGGCTGCCCCTGAGCTGCTTGTTTCCAAAGCGGTCCAAGGCGTGAAGGGGGATTTGGACTGGGAAGTCAAGGTCATGGCCTTGGAACTGGTGGAGGTCTTTGTTGCCCAAACCTTTGTCCGCTTTGGATTTCTCGAGTGCCCCTATATAGGCGATTCCCTGCCAGCTTCCCTGCCTGAATTATTGCAGACCTTCTGCCGGGCGAAACTCTTCGAATTCCTCTTTGGAGCCCTGCGTGACTGTGACCGGCCGGTCGCTCTGAAAGCCTGTGAGGTCCTTCTCACCATGAAATCGAAGATTTGCAAAGGCAACTGCCTGGAGCAGGGGAATAGGTTGGGACTTGACGACACCGCTCAGCCAGCAGAAACCCTGGGGGGTGCATCTCCTTCTGCTTTCATCTGTCCAGACGGGGATTTTGCTGAGAGGTTTCCGCAGGACCCAGAGCACTTGCCCCTGATTTTACAAGCGATGGACCTGGAGGGTTTGCAAAGAGCTCTGGATATCAGCAGCGACCACCTGGAGCAGAGTCCCGAGTCCCTCTTGCAGGATATCCTGTCTGCCGCGGGGAGTGCGGAAGAGAACGAAGCCGACTGCTACTAGAAAACAGGCCAGGGGAGGCTGCATCTGACTAGCTGCCCTTTGTCCCCAAGAGTGCAGAGGGCAAAAATCTTTGGTGAGAATTTCTCCTTGCATTAGAGGGGTGAGGGCTGCCATGGAGGAATTAGCCTGAAACACACTTCCAGAAGGTCATTCACAAACAATGATACAAGTGGGAGGGGGGAGAGATCAAAATGGTGTAAGGAAATCAAGAGACATCCAAACTAGTGGGGAGAAATCCCAAATGACAGTGTTTTGAGAAAAAACACAAGAATTTAAGACTTGGTATATAAACCCCTGCAATACAAAATCCAATTGTTTGCATGTATGGAGTGAAGCCATGTATTAAGGCAGATTCAGATGCACTGCTCTCAGAAATGACAGCACACAGTTAATGCATTTGGGCCAAAGACTGAAAGTGGACAGCGAGGTACCTTGTGACTCTTCAGCCGGTGTCGAACTGTCGCAGCCACCCTCCCATCACTATTCGTTATGTTGACTGAGGCCGATGGGAACAGAGATCCCCATGTTGCCCACCTCTAATTACAGTGTCACCTGTTAGCAGTGCATTACTGATGAATATTCAGAGGTTTTAAACGGAAACCCAGGTATAACTTGATGTCATGTTGCAGATCTCTGAGGAGTGTGCAAGAAACACTGGCAGAAATCCTGTACCAAGTTGTGGCTAGAGTAGACCACTTGAATCAATGGGGAGTTGGAGGAGTCAACTTTTCTGTAAGTTCCATTGATTCAATGGGTCTACTTCAGCTGTGATGTGGTATTGGATTTCCGCCAGTGTTTTGCTGTATACCGTCACAGTCTTTGTGAACATGGAACCAGTGCTGGACTGGGGCTTTCCAAATAAACAATCTCTGACCACTCTCAGACTGTTGAGAGCCCATGTATAGGTTTTGTGTTAATATTTTGCTAATAACACCACAATTGCTAGTGGAGTTGAAACTTATTCCTTGTGGGCTGTCATCTCTGCGAACCGATGAACACTGCGGGTATTTTCTAGCAATATTGGTGTCTTGTTGCCAATAAAAGGCTTTTTGTTTCATTCTGTTTTTTTTTAATATGACGGCTTGACTTCATTGCCTTAAACTGGGCATCCTGTTTGCGAACAGTCACAACTTGATTTTCTTTTGGTGGGAATGGTAAGATCTTTCAAGAAGATGTGGCTCATTTCACCGAGGAAAAAATGTTAGTAACAGGGAAAGAAGGCTCAGAAGCAGTGAATTTTTTAATGCCAGAAACCATATTTGCTCAAATTAAAATAAATACAGTGGTGCCCCACTAGACGATTGCCTCGCAAAACGGTTTATTCGCTAGACGATGAGTTTTTTCAATTGCTATAGCGCTTCACAAAACGGTGTTTCCTATGGGTGGTTTTCACTGGATGATGTTTCACACTGTGCTTTGCAAGACGGGGGGTTTTTTGGGACTGTTTTTCGCAAGATGACGATTTTGACAGCTGAGTCCACACTTCGCAAAATGGGTGTTTTCAGGACTGTTTTTCGCAAGACAGCGATTTTGACAGCTGATCCGCGCTTTACAAAATGGTTTTCCTATGGGCGATTTTCGCAAAACGACGATTTTTCCCCATTGGAACGCATTAAATGGATTTCAATGCATTCTAATGGGGAACCGCATTTCGCAAGACGATGTTTTCGCAAAACAGCGATTTTTATGGAACAAATTAACATCGTCTTGTGGGGCACCACTGTACTGTAAATAAATAGTGTGGCTATTCCACTAATGGAGCAGCTGCATACATATCTATAGATCTGGCATGGAGCAGATGTAGGATTGCTTGATTTGACTGCAAACCAAATCATATTCGCTAGGGAGCATACTCCACTGGGTCTTTGAATGAACATGTTTCAGACTGACTAGTAAGGATAAAAGAATGGGAGCCTGCTATTTAGGAGGAGCCTCGTGCCACAGCAGTTACACTGCAATACTGCAGTCGAGACTCTGCTCACGACCTGAGTTCAATCCCAGGCTCAGGTAGAAGTTGACTCAAGCTTCCATCCTTCTGAGGTTGGCAAACTGAGTACCCAGTTTGTAAACTGCCCGGAGAGAGCTTTAAGCACTATGGGGGTGGTATATAAGCAGCACATTTGGTTTCTTTTTACTGAACTCCTGAAACACAGACCTCCTGGAAACACAGGTCAGGATTTTTGCAGAGTGCCACTTCCTTTCCATGAGACCTGGTGCTTCCCTTTTCAGGCAATAAATCAGCCTGGGCCAGCAGCATCACTATCACCATCTTACCCTCACTTTCTGGAGCAGGTTTTCAAGTGCTCAGACCTGCTGCAAACAGAAGACACGGTTGCTAAGGGACCGGCATTTGTGCAGAGCTATCGCAGTTTTGCTAAGTACTTGCAAGGTTGCTATTGTTTAAAGGTCTCCTATTGCTTAGGAATCTGTCTATAGAGGATGAAAATGAATCATCCGCATATGGAACCACCACCGTGATGGCCCATTATTGTCAAGCGGTGACTGCAAATGCCAGTAAGAATGGGACTGGACTCTGTCTCGGGTGTGTGCATGTGCTGGAGATTTCCGGGCCCTCAACAGTGCATAATTCAAGAATTTTGAAGTGCTCCGTTTTAAAAAAAACAATTGGCCACATGCTAGCTCTGAGATTCTGGAAGTTGCAATCCAAAAGAGCAAATTACAAGATCCCTCCAAAATCTCTGGAGGTACATCTGTGAGGGTTCATTATTCTTCGCCTCCCCCCGAACCAAATAAACTCAGAGACTCGTTTAAACCAAACACTTTGTCTTCATTTGCATCAGTTTAAGTTTGCAGGACAGCATCTCCTGTCAGTGCTTGGATCAGGGAATTGCATCACCCCTTAGCGCCGCATGTGAGTCTCCAGGATGTCGGAAAGAGAGGCCGGGCCCAGTGGATGGCATGGTGATTCCACAAGACCGTTTCTATATTCCACCATGTTTTCCCCTTCATTCATATTTTCCTCGACAGCTGGGCTAGAATGTTTAGATTTCCAAATAAAAAGAGATCATAGCACAGTGGCAAAGCGCTTGCATGACGCAATCCTGGTCTTTGGCTATCTTCAGCGTAGATGGAATAGGTAAGCAGAAGATGAAACACAGCCTTCCTTTCCCTGAAACACAGAGAGCATCTCATAGGGATTAGCAACCCCTTCTCTCCTGCTTCTGCTTTCAGACCAGTTCTCACCAAACAGGGCTCCTGTGTGTCTTAGGGAGAAGCAACACTGTTGGGTGGGTGCCAGTGCTTCACATCTGAGGACCTACAAATATTTTCTTCACAGAAGCCACCAGCCGCTGCATTTTTAACTGAGAGTAATGGGCAGAATGGAGTAGCTCAAAGTTGTCTGCACTTTTTTTGATGAGATCTGCACACATGTTCCGCCTCAACAAGACACATCTTTTCAGTGTGCTGGCTGGAGGATTTTGGTAGTCCAAAAAAGTTTCTTTTCCGCTGTGGAAGGCCAAAGATTCTGGTCTGTTTCCAGCATAATCCTGAGCGGCAGCAACAGATCTTCATCCTGGCACCACATAAGGGAGGCCTTGGCTTTAAAGTGCCCCTTTTTAAACTTAATGATGCCTCAGAGTCGGAGAAGCACACACAAAAGGATAAGAAGAAGACGGCAAATGTGCATACAAACACACACAAATCATTTCTTTCATCAGAAGATTATGTAAGTCTGCAGCCTTCAAGGCAAAGCTTTTGTGATGATGACTCCCGGGAGCCATGGTGGAAAGAGACATGGCAGAACCCTTCCCAAACCAGTGAAGAAGAAAGGAACTGACAGGCGGAGAAAAAAAGAAAAATCACTGCCAGTTTCTGATCCTATATGCACGCTTGATACTAGGGAATGACAAGCTGGTTTGTTTCTGATCCACATCAGCTCTCCTCTGCTCATCTTGTCTGTTCTGTTCTGTTTCCACAGTTGTGTGTAATTTAAAAAAAGATCATGAGCATTTGCAATTTTAAAAAAAGATTTACATACAATCTTCAGGCATTCCTTCATAAACATACTGATCTCAAAACACAGATTTACAAAAATGTGCCTTATCTTAAAACCAGCCCATAAAAACATGTAAGCAAGCATGTGAACTGGGAACTCTCAGAAAGATTTGGAGATGCAATTAATTCAGGAAGTGGATTCGCAGAGAGAGATTTCCTGGAACATCCCTGCCTAGGGGTATAAGCCCAGGTGCAGTGGGTTTGCGCTGAAAACTGAAACCTGGAACATCTTTTTAAAAAGAAAGGAAGAAAAAGAAATGATGCCAACAGTAAGACATGAACTGGTATCCCTTGCTTTTTAAAGTGAAAGTTAGCTTATAGGTTGAACCTTAATGTAAGAAAAGGAATTGAGAGAAGGGCCAGTGTTTTGTTTGCCTAGTGGAGCTCTATGATTTCTGCCAAAGAAGATCTCCACTTTAACTTTTTAAAAAAGTGTCCAGTCATGCTTATGAAGAGACATTTAACAAAGGTGCAGCAATTATTGGGAAGCTCTTCTAAGTCAGAAAATGTCACCTCTGAAGACAAAGCCGCTTGGATATTCGGAAACCACTGCAAAAATTGGGCAGATTCACAGAGAGGCAACAGATACTCGTTTGGGGACTGAATTGATGGGAGGATGGTTCAGTCTTTGCAATATGTAGGGCTGATCCTGGTGAAGGTCAGGTTAGTTCATAGGCTCTCTAGAAAAGAAGATTCTGTGGGTCTGAATTTGGTTTGAAAATGTGGAGGGATCATGGGGGTTGTAGTAAACAAAAAAAGTAACTCCTCCAGGATCTGCTCAGGAAGAAGATTTTAATACCATTTCAGTTCCATCAGATCATTCTGCTCAATACTGATACAAATTGGCAGCCCCATTGCTAAGTTTCCAGGCAGGATCCTATCTAGAAAGGTCAGAAATAGAACCCAAGATCTTCTGCCTGCTGCTGAGCAGCAGCCCTTCATGAAAAATTTCATCAGAAGTGGGCCTGATCAGAAAAAAAAACACACAAAACAAAAAACGGGCATTTCCAACATCCAAGAAACATACTTCCTAAAAAATACCAGCCAACACAGAAAAGAACAAGGCATTTAACTGTCTGCCGGCAATCTGCACACTTCACTAGTGCGTTTAATAAGACTCCATTGAAGGGAGAAGCCCGCAGAAAATCTTTGCTTACCAGATCCCCAGAGGCCAGATCCTGTTCCTGTGCCAGCCTATGGGGCTCTTCCGGCTGGCTTCCATGAGAACAGGATCTGCCTTCTAATCACCAATGCAAATTATACATATAATCACATTATGAAATTCTGGAGTGGAAAATGATACAGCATCTATTCTGGCTGCCAGAACTCCCCGGGGCAGTTCTGGCTCAAGGCACGAGCCATGAATTAATAGCAAGCGAGCCGAGCCCCTCCATGTCGGATGGCTTAATTATCAGAGGGCAAAAGCAAAGTGATCTGAGTGACTGAAAATGATTGTAGTTCTTCAATCACAGTAAGCAAGGAGGCAGGGTGATGTAGAAAAGAAAAGGACTCCCCCCTCCCTTAAAAGAAGCAGTTCCATCCATCATACTATAATCCTGCTCTAGAGCCATGCTTAATAACTGTTATAAACAAAGGTGTGGTTTACACGCTGCCTTTATTATGTATGGTGTTTGTAAGCAACTCCTCCTTCGAGAAACTCGTGACTGCATACAGGTTTCTCCTATCTGTCTTTTTCATCCAAATAACCCTCTCAGAGAGGGTTATACCTCGAGAAAATTATTGCCGTAAATTCACCCACAGACCTTCATGGCTGAATGGGGATTAGAATTGTCCTTAATCTCGAACTTCAGAGAGGATGGATTAATGTTGTCTGGGGATGATGGAAGCTGTAGGCCAAACCACCTGGAGGGTACTGGGTTGGAAAAGGATGCCTGAGAGAAATGGCTGAGTTACTGATACACATTAGAACTAGAAATGTAAAATATCTGAAAATCCTCATTTTTTTTTCTGGAAAAAAGTTTTTCTCCTGTTTTATTTCTGAAAAAAATGGACACTTTTGGAACATTTACATCCCTAACTTAGAACCCCCAGCAGCATCCTAGCTTGACACATATGTATAATAATAATAATTTATTGTCATTGTAAGTATATATACAGTATACCCATACAACGAAATTCACAGACAACCAGAAACCAGACACATGCACACACATAAAATTCCCCAAACACTCCCCACCCACTGATGAGAGGAAGTTTGAAAAAGGAGTGGGAAGTCCCAAGGTTACAAGCGCCTGGCGTGGCTCTTAGCAAATGGCATCCTGCAATTC